GGGCAACCTGTCGGCGCATTTGAGTTCCAATGACACTCAAGCCTTGCTCGTGAGCAATAATGTGCTTTTCAACTCCACACAAGCTCAATATCAACATGATAACAACGCCAGTCAAATCTTGCCCGTTTGAACAGGATAAAAGGAATGGTTCAAGCGGGTGATCTTTGATGTAAGTGAATATAGTTCGAAGCAGCGGGATGCCTTCTCTAAGAATCTCTTTATAAATATGCTCGGACTTGTTCTTGCTTTGACTGCTCGAAACAAGCTTTTTGGCTAGTTTCTCAGGCGCAACCAGCTCCAAGTCAAAAATAGGAGATTTTACAACATTGATACCAGCATGGGTCAAGTAGCCAGGGTCCAAATCACCAGCAGCTTCTTGGGGAGATCTTAAATCGAAGACGGTTTTCACGCCCATCTTTTGAAGGGCGTCAGCTCCTCCGTCAGTTATAGAGTTGATTCCAGAGGAGCGGTAGATGTAGTTGGACCTCACAGAAATAGACAGACCAACCCTCAGACTCTTGGAGAAGGTGGGCCTGATCAATCGCCAGCCACCAATGTCTCTAAAATTGTATAAGCCATCTGCTGATTTCCAGCGTGGGACAGATTGAATTGAAGCGTTGGCATACAAGAAGCGGAGCAGTTCATTTTCTGGCTTGAGCCAGTGCAAAATGGCAGCCGCTGCATGGTGCCTATAATTGACAAGCTTGTTTGATGCAACCGGCCAGCCTTGAGGATTGTAGTCCTCTTGGTCCTCCTCGCTATCTATATGGTGAATACCCATGAACATGTGGTCTGCATTTTCAATAAGTTCGAGATGATGGGAGTATCGGCATCTGCTTAGGAGGTTTGAGAACTGAGCGCCATCGTTAGCAGAGACAACCTCGTCTTCCATTCCGTAGACACTCAATACGGACCAATTTGCGGGAAGATCTTTGACACAAGTCAAGTCTGTATCGATAAGGCTGTTCAACTCATGACGAGGCACCTCTACGAGTTGAACCTTGCCATGACGAAGACATCTCATTTCCAAGGACTCAAAGTCGTCATCGATGACGCCCTCCTTCTCAAACATGGTGAGGGAATTGTATCTAGTTGAGCAGCTCACCAAGTTTGGCACATTGAAAGCTTTTCTTTCTGGATCTCCATTCTTGAGCAAGGCTTCCTGCTGCAAGGCCCACAAGTACATCACCACAGCACCTCGAGAGTGTGCTACTATAGCCAGAGGCACAAACGACACACCTAGCGGATTAAGCGACGCATTTGTGATAAATTCCATGCATCGAGTAATATCCTCAAGGTCCGACTCGACAACACGTCCCAACTTGGGATCAGCACAATCGTCCAGTGCTCCACAACCACGGAAGTCTATTCTCAACGAGTACATGCCCCGATAAGCTGCCAACTTGTGAGCCAATATTTTTTGATAGCAGTAATCACGATGGCCCATTTGGCCATGCAAAATAAGCACCATTCGTTTGGTCGGAGTAGCCCATCGTGGATCGTCGGAGTCCACACCATGCGGCACGGCTATAGTGGCCGAGATACCGCCAGGAACCGATACCTCAATTTCTCTAGGAGGCGGCACGTCTTTAGCATCGACAGGCTCGTAGCCAAGCTGAGGCGCCATTTTTTTACTGAAGCTACGAAAAAGCAGCGATATTGCTGAATAAATACAATGTCAATCGCACATGATATTCCACTGCTAATGTGTGGAGTAGCACGTACAGGCGCTGAGGGAGGGGACAATAGTGAGGCATCCGAGGCCCTCATACGGAGACAAGAGTCTATATAGTGATGACAGCGCAGGACGGCTGGTATCGGCATTTTTAAAGCCGTTGCCGTTGCTATTGTTTTGCAGCCGGATGGGCTGGGCGAGGGGGGCAATCGTGTGAATTTACGATAGTGAGTTAAGATATGGAGGAGGAAGGGTGGGTTTTATAGTTGAGGGAGTCTGACGCTTCGGAGCGGAGGTAGCACGTTAAAGTCCGAGCGAGGAGAGGCAGGTTCAGATCTAGAAGGTGAAATGGGCTATGCACCGATCGTGATATTGGATGCGATGAATGGAGTAGGAGGAGCATTTTTACTGCACTTCGTGGGGTTCAAAGGAGTTTATTTTTGGCTGCAAACGGAGATTGAATGTCGAGTTTAGACTAATTTATGCTTCAATGGTTTGAACTTTGTGATGAGCTACCTCCAGTGCGTTGCTGAAACAAAATACATAGCACCAATGTTCCGTTGAATTGTATACTTGAAGAGATTACGAAGAAGTCATTTATAGCCACCTTTCCACATGTGGCGATTATGCTCTCATACAAATGTTTCAGGCTCTTGAAACCATCCCAACTGATCATTTTGGGCTCGAATTAAAGACTTTCTAAGTATTAGTATGTTACTGCTAGACTTCACGTTATGCTGTATGGACTTAGAAGCGAGCACGGTTCACTTACTTACCACACAACCCACGCAAACGGTAAAGTAAACCCGACAATGCTTCCATCGTCTAGATATCAAGCTACTACTTCAGTACACTGAAATGGCTTTTTATCTCCCACTTGCCCTGATTCGGGAGGCACAGTGCGACCATTCGGTCTTCTTAGATGTGGAGATCTCAGTTAGATACAAAAATGTCAGTAATTTAGCATAACACACATCATCTAATCCATTCAAAGTAGAAGGAACATCCAATCATCTCAATCTTTTCCAAGTAGCCTTATCAAAAGTCCGTCGACGGCTGCAAAAGTTGTGTCCTGCGCAAAACTACACAGACGCGGTGAGGCCAGGTTTTATATTTTTTTCCACCTAAGAACAAGTCACCACACAAGATCAAGATGAACGTGGTATTCACAGCTTTGGTGTTCTTGTTGGCACAAGCCAGCGCATTGCATTTTTACCTCCCCACAGGAAACACCAGATGTTTCTACGAGGATTTGCCTGCCCACGCCCTCGTGGTGGCCAAGCTCGAGGCCCTTGAGTACGCCGAAAACGCCAACGAATACTTCAAAACGAATAACTTGAAGGTGCAGATCACTGTGGATGAGACCTTCGACAACGACCACAGAGTTGTGGACTCGAATTCTAACCCTAGCGGTGATTTCACTTTCACTTCCCTTGAAGCCGGAGAACACAGATTCTGTTTGACCCCAGTGTACCAGGACGGCAGCAAGAACAAGTGGCACCGTATCTTCTTTGACCTTGCCATTGGTGCCGCCGAGGACTACGCCGACTCCAAATCTCTGAGAAGAGTGGATGCCTTGACCTTGCAGATCAAGCAGTTGAACGAGAAGTTAAAGGAGATTAACTACGAGCAAGAGCTGATCAGAGAGAGAGAGGCAATCTTCAGAAACCAGTCTGAGAGCACCAACTCGAGAGTTGTCTGGTGGAGCATAATCCAGTTGGCTGTGTTGGTGGGAACCTGTGCCTACCAATTGCGTCACTTGAAGAGTTTCTTCGTTAAGCAAAAGATCGTGTAAGGAGGCCTTGCACAGTCAATAGACATAATTCGGAACATAGCGTAGGCGTGTTGTACTTAGATGGCATCGCGCACTCATAAATCATCATGTCAGACCTACAACTTCGTATCAAACAGCTCGAGGAGGAAAACAGGCGGCTTGTGGGCGAGCTACAAAGAGAGAAGCAGCGAAATATAGAGTATGAACCTTCAAACGATCCCGACTTCTCCTTAGAAGAATTCAGACGCTATGGACGTCAGATGATAGTGCCTGAGTTTGGATCTCTACCTGCTCAGCGAAAGCTAAAGAATGCCAAAGTACTTGTTGTTGGCGCAGGTGGGCTAGGATGCCCTACGCTACTTTACTTGACTGCTGCTGGTGTTGGCAAGATAGGTATAGTTGATAATGATACTGTGGATGTCAGTAACTTGCACAGACAGGTCCTACACACTTCAGATAAGGTGGGTATGCTAAAATGTGATTCTGCTAAAGAGTATTTGAACCGACTCAATCCTCATGTTGATATTATGACCCATCCAATCAGACTAGATAATAGCAATGCATTCAACATTTTTGGTGAATACGATCTCATTGTGGATTGCACCGATGCCCCAGCCATCAGGTACTTGATCAACGATGTGGCTGTTCTAAGCGGCAAGACAATCGTCAGTGGCTCAGGAGTGAAGACCGATGGTCAGTTTACGATTTTAAATTTCAATAATACTGGGCCCTGCTACCGGTGTTTTTACCCCCAACCTCCCAAACCGGAGTCTGTCTCTACGTGTGGTGATGCAGGTGTTTTTGGACCAGCCATTGGGTTGACCGGTATCTCATTGGCTACAGAGACTCTAAAGGTACTAACAGGTCATTATGACGAAACATTTAAGCCTTTTCTTGCAATGTACACGGCGTATCCCCTGCTGGTCCTTCGACAGTTCAAGATGCGAGGCAGACAGGCTGCTTGCAAAGTTTGTGGAACGCAACCGACAATCACTAAACAGTCAATTGAGTCAGGAGAAATAAACTACGACCAATTCTGTGGATCCGTCAATTCTAACGTGTTGACTCCAGAGCAACGGATCGACGCTAAGGAAGCAGAGAACTACTTGAAAGCTGATGATCGTTCGGTACTTCTAGATGTCAGACCGTTCGAGCAGTATCAAATTGCAAACATCAGCCGCTCGATTAATATCGATTGGGCTCTGCGCTTATCCAGGCTAGAGTCAGATGAATCTATTTTCCCGGAAACGTTCGACAAGAAAAATGACCAGGTGTATGTGATTTGCCGTTATGGAAATGATTCACAACTTGCCACCAAGAAGCTTACAGAAGATTTTGGCGTTGCTCATGTTCGTGACATAAAAGGAGGAATTAATAGATGGAGTGAAACCGTTGATCAGAGGCTCCCTAAATACTAATTCAACAGAGGGTCTAAGCGTTCCAAAACTAATAGCCCTGAATACGTACCCATAGCGTAGGTCGAACTGCCATCAAAACCTTCGTTCCAAGCACAGGCAGATACACCCACCTCGTGTGGAGTAAATGAGTAGGCTACCTCAGCTTTATCTGCTGACGAGGGTTCGTAGTCTCCCACGAGTCTCAACGTCTTCCTGTCATCCTCAAGGAAGAGCGACCAGATCTTGAGAGGCACCACAAGCTTGTTGTGGGCCTTGGGAACACCAAAGATCTTCCTTCCAATGTTGATCACGTAAAAGTCTCCAGCGGCATTACCCACCAAGGCAAAAGGGTGATTGAGATATTCACTGATGTGAAAGCTAGAAATAAGCTCTGTCCGTAGGAGTAAACTGTGTTTCTGATGGGGATGTCTGACGAAGGTATAGCCTATACTTTCAGCGCTATCAGGGTATACAAAGATGCGGTACCCTCTGTGGTATCGAGGCGGTAGAAACAGGATTGTGTATGCTGTCTCCAACCTACTTTGACGTAGGTTTTCATATAGAATGGCGAATGACCTCGTGGTAGTTGTATTGACGAGGAGAACGTGTCCGTTTAGGACAGGAGCAACAGTGACGGTGCTTATTGCTGAGTCGGTAACATATTCCACAAATGAGGGCTCCTCAGGGTGCTCATCGATGCCAGGCAAGACAAACTCGGCAATTGCACCATCGAGCGTTCCCACGATAATCTTTGTCTCATCAAAAATGTCGTAGGCTGTTATTGGAAGCTGCGCTGAACCAGCCTCGTCGCTCATAGAAATTGTCCACGAGGCACCAGACACATCAAGGTATTGAGTACCCAGCGCAGGGATGTCGACCCTAAAGAAGTGTACCTTTCCATCGGAGAAGAGACCAGAGAGAACACCGGATGTCTCTTCCTTAACTTTAAAAGGTAGCCAATTAAGGTTCGAGGTGGCTCCAAATGAAGATGTAATGAGAACTTTTCGGAGAGACAACAGCGTTGTCTCCGGGTCATACTTATAGAATTGAATGCAAGACTTCACATCCTCAACATTGATAGGGTTGTTGAAGATCAGCAAGGACGGACTTGTGATCGCCTTGGATAATCCCTCCTTATGATAGGTGACGGCTACTGCCAAGAGGGAACCGTACGGTAGCCATTTCATAGCCGTTATTATGCCACCCACATTCAATATTCTAGCGTTTCTATTAAACATCTCTTGTAGAGCCAAGCTATCACCATGGTTAAGAGTTTGCTTGCTCTCACCCTTTGAACTAACGAAATTGAGGTCGATTCCATTCAGAGTTCCAAATTGAGCCTCAAAGGCGCCTTTCAGAATCTCCGACGCTTCGTTTTTGGGAAATTGAAGCTCATTGTAAGCCACCTCAGGGATCTGTCTGATTTGATGCTGTCCAAAGCTGACTGCTTGCTGGAACGGTAGCTCATTGAGGTAGAAGAGCTTATCACCCCAGAGTTCCTTCTGGGCTAGGAGGTACTCGAAAAGACCTTCTTCGAATCCAAAATTGTGATGAAAACGCCCCACAAAGCTCAAATCTCTCGTTCGAGGGAGATTGGCATTGACTATGAGCTTGTCACCCTCAGTGGTCATTTCTTGGAGGTGTGGTTCTCTGCGCTTTGTTTGTATTATGATTTCGCGTAGTTGAAGGATGCCAGGATCACGAATTGGATTGAAGCTCTTGAAGACGTCACAAACTCAAGACTACTGTGAAGACAATTGAAAGCAAAAAGTTTCTAACAAAATTGATTTTCGGAAAACCAGCTTCCTATTCCTCGTAGCACTGTTAAGTAGTGGGTATCTGGGGTAAGTGCGAAAGCTTCCCAATACAACTCCACAAAGTCGTCAAAGATGGTCAAGCTTGAGCCATCGGAAAAGACAAAGAAGAGAAACAAGAAGTTGTTTGACGACGATGACTTCTTCGTGATCAAGAAGAAGAAATCAAAAAGCTCAGTGCCCGAGGTAAAAGCAGAAGTCAAATCAAATCCAGTGACTGAAACCACAGCAGAAGTGACACAAGACGACAAGGCAAAGACAGAACCCAATCACCTACCACTGCCGCCGAAAACCAGTACAGTTGATACCCAGCCCGAGCTGCTATCCTCCGAGGACTTGGTGGAGTCTTTTCATACCGCTCATACTACATCCGATGCTGATGAGATATTCGAGATACGTCAAACGGATACGCAACTGGAACCTGTGGAAGTTATATCAGACGAGTCAGATGGAGAATTTGATGAGCTTATCAAAGCACATACTAGCCAAAAACAGAGCGATCACGAGGCCGACAGATGTTACGACATCTCGGTTACATCGAAGCTAGGGCCGGAAGAAAAGCATACAATTACATCCAGAGGCAATAAGACATTCATGGAAATCTTGGATGACATTCGAATCCAAGCAACACGCAACTTCGTCCCATTTAGGCTCAAGGGAGGCTGTCTAATATGGATCAAAGGAAAGCTGGAGTTGAAGCCATTCTTTAGGCCTAGCACGCTACGAATTCCGCCAAGCACAGACCCAGCGACAAACACACTTATCGATTGTTTGTACATACCAGAAGTCTGTCGCCAAAACTTCGAGGAAATTTACCCTGAATTTAGTGGAACTCCAAATGTCAACGATCCAGAGGAAGATTTGGCTATAGTTGATGTCAAGGAAGAAAAAGTTGAAGAGGAGGAAGTTGAGAAGAAGGACGAATATTTCATCATCGGCCTCAAAGGAAAGGACAATAAGCGCATAGAGGCCGAGGTAGGTCCTCAGACCAAGATAAAGGCCTTGCTTGAGCACTACCTCAAGTCGAAGGAGATCGATGCAAGTCTGGTTTCAAAAGCCAGACTAGTATTTGACGATGAGGATTTGGATCTAGAAGGTGTCGTGGGCGATACTGAGCTAGAAGAGGATTTTGAAGTGCAGGTGTATATTAATTGAATTTAATTAGGGTTATTTGGATCAGAATAAGGCGGAGAAGAATCCACCAAAGTAGCCGACCATGTAGCTTGTGAACCACGTCAAGGTAGTGGCACCGAAGGGAAAGTAGCTTATGATGTAGTATGCAATTGCAATGACCTCCACAATACTGGCAATGAGGGTCAATATGGTACTCTGAAGAATGAGAGCACAGTACATGGTGAGGAAGACAGAACCGAAAAAAATGCCGGAGAATACAAACCTATCTCGGCTTGTGAGGTGTCTAATGTATGAGTAAGGGCCTTGCAAAATGCCAAAGGAAATGACGAATAAAAAGGATCCCATAGTCCAAAGCAAAGCAAACTTTCTTGGATTGAGCGCAAGCACGGGGAAAATGAAGAAACTGAAGACGAAGCAGAAGATGGAAGCAGCTAAGCAGCATCCAAAGCCAACGATCTTCTCAAACCTGCTCAATTTAAACCATGAAGGTTCCTGTTGTGGAGTAGGCACTGCTGGGTTGTTGTATGTGGGGAGGGACTCATATAGGTCGTTTGCGCTTGACCTGACGTAGTCTGTCCAGGAGGACAATTGAGGCCCCCTGGTACTATTTCTTGACGTCCAGTTGCCAAACTGGGCACGAAAATCGGCCTCTGGCTGGGACATATGTTAAAGATAAGGAGTAGATATTATCGCTGTTGATAATGCGTATGGAGTGTATGGGTGGGTGTCGAAAGGATGACTATCGGGCGAAGAGTGGCAATTGCCACACTTTCATAAAATGTGAATGGAGACAAATATAAGGAAAAGGAAGTATTATGACTGTTGTTGGGCAGTTGAGCAAAGGATCTTTGTCTTGATGCTGTAAACGTCGGATGGTTATGGGCTACTAAATGATGGCTGCGAAACTCCAACAAGCTTTGACAGTTATTGTCATGCATCAACTTGGTCGAGTTAAATTTCCATTCCGATACCACTACTTGAGTTTGGCAGAATAACAGGCAGCCAATATGCATCCAAAAAGAAATCACGACCTTCAACCAAATTCACGCCTCGTGAACAGTCCCTACATTACCCACTCCATAATCACCCACTCAAGTCTCGCCGTATATTTGATTTGCTGTCTTACGACGACTCCGTCTCCCCTATGCTACTTACAACTTCTCCTCAGCGGCCAAAGCTTCCTTCAAAGTCTCGTGGAGCTTGCCCAATTTGTCAAAGTCGGTCTCCTGGGCTGGCCAGCCGACACCCAAGCCAGACTCGGTGTCTTTCTTTGGAATCAAGTGGAAATGAACATGGTCAACCACCTGATGAGCAATTCTGCCGTTGTTCTGCAACACATTGTAGCCACTGCCCTCAGGAGTGTTGTTCTGATCGAGCTTCAACACCTTGGTCAATCTCTTCACCACTGGCAAAATGTCAGCAAGGTACTCATCTGGGAGGTTGTGCAATTTGGCACCGTGGTACTTTGGAATCACGAGACAGTGGGCCTCAGCTGTGGGTTGGATGTCCAAGAAGGAGTAGGAGAGTTTAGTCTCGATAAGCTTGAACGAAGGAATCTCGCCCTTGATGATCTTGCAGAAGATGCACGAGGCGTTAGATGCAGCAGACATTCTTTGGATCGATCGAATTGACACTGTGGTGGTTATGAAAGACGTATAAAAGGGGCCCTTTCCGCACTTTAAAGGGCCCTCCTCTCTTTATATATACACGCCGAGTGGGGCTCCGTAATATTGGCCCCTCTAGACTATGCACAATCTGGTGATATTCGGATCGAGGCCAGAGGCAATGAAGAGTGGACAATGTGAATTTGGATTTCTCAATCAGCAGATTTGACAAAACTCGATGAATGTTCTTCAATTGAAGAAGTGAGTTAATTTGGGGGTAGAGATGAGTAGACGGTGGGTCCATTGGCATTTTCTAACTCCAATCTGATGCTCCGAAATGGCCCATAGTATGGCGTCACCATACATGTAATAGTAGCTGCTAGATTGGTCCACCGATCGCTTGATAGTGACTATCATGAAGGTAAATTCATTCTTGATGTCGAGGTACACCAAGAAACTTCTAAAGATTGAGACCATCAATCGAATTGGGTTTTCAATTGTCTTCTACTTTCTAGATTTTGTGCAAGGATCTAGCATTGCAAGTGGGGAAGAACTCCGGAGACCCCACAGAATGCTAAGAAAGTCTAATTAAGTCTCAATTAGCGAGAAAAACAAAAAATATCAGGTTTGTACTGAAATGGGGTTTGAATATGATTGTGATCCCAGATTCAATTCAAGGATTTTTTCTGTCGTAACTCACCTCTCTCCCCGGTTTGACACCTTAAGCCTCACACAGGTCGCACACTTATACATCTTTATCAACAGCGAGAGTATAAAAGGCACCACGATTCCTCCAAGCATTCAATGGATTACCTACAGCCCGTACTTCGGTTTTTCTCGCTTGAGGCCCTTGATACAAGGCTATACCCACCCGCAGATGCTGCAAAGAGGCAGAAGGTCGTCTCCCGTGCTACCACTTCAAAATGGCATACGCTTGAATTCAGGATATACGCCGTGATTTTTGTCTTGGCCGTGCCTCTCATGTGGAAGACAGCTATGGACGCTTCCAATGAGTATAATCCAAATTACCCAAGGTACGAGCCGCTATTAAGTCAGGGTTGGATGTTCGGGAGAAAAGTCGATAACTCAGATACGCAATACCGTTTCTTCAGAAACAATTTCTGGCTCCTAACGTCCTTAGTGGCTGGACACGTTCTGTTAAGAAAAGCAACGTCTTTGCTTAGCTTCCTGGTGAAGAGAAGTTGGTTCGATATCAGTTTTGGGATCGTCTACTTGTTCGCCCTTCATGGAGTCAATGTGTTGAAGATCTTCTTTCACCTTATCGTCATGTACTCGCTTGCCAAACGAATTGAAGACCCTAAATTAGCTAAGACGCTTCTTTGGGTTTACGGGATTGCCACACTCTTCATCAATGACAAGTTTTGGAATGCGAAATTCCATATTGGTATTCTCGACAATGGCTTCAAGGGTATCATCACACGCTGGGACGTGTTCTACAATTTCACCCTTCTTCGAATGCTCTCCTTTGGTTTGGATTTTCTTGAAAAGAAGGACCTGAGCACGTTGGAATTGAAGCCTGTTGTCGAGAACTTGGATGATAGAGAGCGTTTGACCGCCCCGTTGCCTAAACTGGATTACAACTTCTTCAACTACTTTTCATACATCTCCTACGCTCCATTATTTATCGGCGGACCAATTGTGACCTTCAATGATTACTTATATCAGACGCAATATTACAGATCCAAGTCCACCTTAGACACAAAAAGGATCATCATCTATGGCTTGCGTCTACTTTTTTGCATTTTGGTGATGGAGTTTATTCTACACCACATGTACGTCGTTGCGGTTTCTAAGACTAAAGCATGGGACGGTGATACTCCTTTCCAATTGTCGATGTTGGGAATGTTCAATCTTAATGTAATCTGGCTCAAACTATTGATTCCATGGAGACTCTTCCGGTTTTGGGCTTTGCTTGACGGTGTTGACCCACCAGAGAATATGATCAGATGCATGGACAACAACTACCTGGCTTTGGCATTCTGGAGAGCATGGCATCGCTCTTACAACAAGTGGGTTATCCGCTACATTTACGTTCCCCTTGGTGGCGGTGGAAGAAGAGGAGAAACTGGAGGCTCAAACGGCATTAGATCGAGAGTGGTGAACACGCTTGTTGTCTTTAGTTTTGTCGCTGTGTGGCACGACATTGAACTCAAGCTTCTTCTCTGGGGCTGGCTCGTCGTGGTATTCCTCCTTCCAGAAATCGCAGCGACGATCTACTTCAAAAAGTATTCGGACAGACCATGGTTCAGATACTTGTGTGGCGTGGGAGCTTCCATAAACATTTGGCTCATGATGATCGCCAATTTGTTTGGCTTCTGTCTCGGTCAGGATGGTACCGTGGCTCTTATAAAAGAGATGTTCAGCACGCCTGCTGGATTGAGATTTTTCATCCTAGCCCTGGCCACGCTTTTCGTGGGTGTCCAAGTCATGTTTGAAATGAGGGAAGCAGAGAAAAGAAGAGGCATCGACGTGAAATGCTAACTCATAGATTTGCATCGTATAAGGTATCATAATGCATTAAGAACCCAAAGTAGTTTTATGTGAGGTTTCGGTAGTCGCCATAATGTTGCTAACCCGCATTCAAGAATTTCAGGATTCGCAGCCAAGAAGCACAGTCGAAAAAGAGAGCACTGTGAATGTTAACATGTCCAAAATTAAACCTCTTCGAAAATGGCAAGGATGGCATGATTTAAAATGCGATACCTTGTCAAAATCAGACTACTTGATCTTCAAGGTGGAATGTGTAGAACCTTCGAGAAGGATCTCGCACTTTCAAGGTGTTGCGGTTTTCTCATTTATCAAGACATTTTTATCCACGCACGAGCAGAGTAAACGGCCTACATTATCTTTTTTTTACAATTGACATAAATCATGGTCAAGGAAACGAAGCTCTACGATTTGTTGGGCGTCGCCCCACTGGCGAATGAAAACGAGATCAAAAAAGCATACAGAAAGGCTGCTCTCAAATACCATCCTGACAAGCCAACTGGAGATACCGAAAAGTTTAAGGAGATCTCCGAAGCTTTCGACATTTTGTCTAACGATGACAAGAGACAGGTCTACGATGACTACGGCTTGGAGGCTGCCAGAGGCAATGCCCCCGCTGGAGGTGAAAACCCATTTGCCGGAGGTGCTCCAGGTGGAGGTGGAACTACATTCTCCTTCGGTGGAGGAGCTGGAGGTCATCCATTCTCCCAGTCTGATGCTTTCAACATCTTCTCTCAAATGGGTGGATTCGGTATGGACGATGGTGGCTTCAGCTTTGGCGGTTCTGGATTTGGCGGAGGATCTGGCTTCGGTGGAGGTGGATCCGGCTTTGGTGGAATGCCAGGTGGATTTGGTGGCGCAGGAGGCGGTGGACGCTCTCGTCGCCCCGAACCAGACACCGTTTCTATCCAGTTGCCTTGTACGCTAGAAGAGTTGTACACTGGTGCTACTAAGAAGATGAAGCTCAGCAGAAAGTCTGCCGATGGATCGAGAGAGAGCAAGATTTTGGAGATCAAGATTAAGCCTGGTTGGAAGATTGGAACCAAGATCAACTTCAACAACGAGGGTGACTACCAGCGCGAGTGCCAGGCTAGACAAACAGTTCAATTCATCATTGAGGAGAAGCCTCACGCAGTTTTCAAGAGAGAGGGCAACGACTTGGTTGCCAACGTTAAGTTGACATTCAAGGAGGCTTTGCTCGGATTTGAGAAGGATATCACCACATTGAGCGGAAAGAAGATTAACGTCTCAAGATCTCTTCCGGTGCAGCCCTCCTCCACAAACAGATATCCAGGTCAGGGAATGCCTAACTCTAAGGACCCCAATGCCCACGGCGATCTTATCGTCAAGTACAAGATAGACTTCCCTACATCTTTGCTGCCAGCCCAGAAACAGGCCATCCAGAGTGCATTTTAGGCTGGGCCGAGAATAGCATCAATCCCAGTGCCTTAGGGCACCGATACGATTCACATATTAATAGATCATCTACTTATGCCGACCCCGTAATATAGGCTTATAACTACGCGATAATGTAGCTAATTTGCAACCTTGTACATCTACTCAGTAGCTCCGACCTGCACACATTTAATACAAGAGCATAGCATTGAGTTGGAAGAACCATCCTAGCATAACCCACATCTGAAAAACCTCCAACCCCATGTCTGTCATTTTAGCATCAGCTGGGTACGACCATACCATTAGGTTCTGGGATGCCTTAACAGGAGTGTGTTCACGCACAATTCAGCATACCGATTCCCAAGTGAACAGACTAGAGATCACCTCCGATAAGCGTTTTCTAGCAGCTGCCGGCAATCTTTACGTTCGTTTATATGATATCAAACAGGCTGGATCCGCAGGCGGAAACACAATGGCTGCTTCAACAGCTTCTGGTGCTGGTGGTACCGGCAATGGAAGCAGCTCTAGTTCAAACCCAGTGATGACTTTTGAAGGCCATAATGGCAACGTTACACTGATAGCTTTCCAAATCGAGAATAAGTGGATGGTGCTGTCCTCCGAGGACGGAACCGTTAAGGTTTGGGATGTGAGATCTCCATCTGTTCAACGAAATTACAAGCACTACTGTCCCGTCAACGAGGTTGTCATTCATCCTAATCAGGGAGAACTTATAAGTTGTGACCACGATGGAAACATCAGAATTTGGGACTTGGGCGAAAACCAATGCACACACCACCTTATCCCCGAGGATGATGTGCCCATCAACTCTCTTTCTGTGGCCAGCGATGGAAGCATGCTTGTTGCCGGAAACAATAAAGGCAATTGCTACGTTTGGAAGATGCAAAACCAGAAAGACATCACATCATTGACCCCAGCTACGAAATTTAGGTCTCATCTGAAATACATCACAAGGGTGGTCCTCCTGACGGATATGAAACATTTGGCGACCTGCTCAGCGGACCACACTGCGAGAATCTGGCTGACGGAACAAAACTTTGCATTGGAAACAACTCTACAGGGCCATCAAAGGTGGGTCTGGGACTGTGCCTTTAGTGCCGACAGTGCATACTTGGTGACAGCATGTTCTGATCACTACGTCCGTCTTTGGGACTTATCAAATAGCGAGACTGTTAGACACTACAACGGTCATCATAAGGGGGCTGTTTGTGTTGCATTGAATGATGTCTAAAACTCACCGACCCATCTTAAATACTCAAGACATTCGCGAAAGGGGATCATAGCCATGATGTCTTCGTTGTTGGCAAGCCTGAAGTGATAGCCATCGTCACACTTCTGTATGTTGATGTCACTTTTCAGAAGAATTCGTTCGGCTGATCGTCTAACATCATCGTCGAACAACTCAGGTCTATTGCTCAACACTTGCGCTAGGGAACGGGCCTCAGGGCCACTGCGACCAAGCTTAATCAGAAGTGCTGATGCTTGAACTTTGAAGAATAGCCGAGCCTTTTTCGCATCTATTCTGGTGATGTCCTTTTCGCTGTACAGTGAAAGCTGCAGTAAATCCCATGCGAGGATCTCAGCCTTTCTTAAAATTGGAAGCATTTTAGCCGACATGTATGGAAGACCCAGCGCTAAATAGACATGGAATAAGATGTAAAAATGGAAAAGTATTGGACTTTCTTCCGAGCATGTACCTTTCAGATTCAAAAATATCATCAGAGAGTTTTGTGCTAGTGATCTGTACAAGTAACTCAAGGGAAAGCAGTATGGTGCAATGAGGCTAGATCGTTTGACTTGTTTCAATAAACGAGCCAACGCTTTTGATTTGGCTCCGACGTGAGGAGTCGCTTTTAAGCTGTTCATGAGCCGACCAACAAACTTCTGTTCGGTCTTCAGGGGCAGGTGGTTTACATTTGGTATTCGACCAATTTGTAAGAACATTAGGAGACAAGCTCGGTAAAGTTGCTTTGTCTCGATAAGCTCCTCTTTTGTCACAACCTTTCCACACCTCAAGCATCGCCTTTGAATGGTTTCTTTTAAGGATAGTTCAAATTCGTTGGAACCGGCAAAGTCATTAAGTACGATCTCGTAGATCGGCAGTTTGCATCTTGGGCAAATAAATGAGAGGAATAAGTCTGGGGCACTGGATTTGCAAAGAGAACATTCACAAGATATTCCAGATTGCTTGAATAGCTGGAGTTGGCGAAAAAGCCGTGGCTGAGATGGTGGGACTTTGCTCACGCTTAGCTTCGTGCTCTCATTGACATTGGTACAACACACAACGTCAAACGTTTCAGAGGAAAGAGGAACCATAAGCAAAGAAGGAGTGCAGCTGTGAGCTAAATTGGAGAACAGAGGTTCAAAGAAGGTACCAACGATATTCATTTGGGCGTCGTAAAGCGGATGCGATTGGGAGTCTAGTAGCTTCCGACAGAATTCGACATCCCGTGGGTTGAATACCGATTTCAAGTGTAATAGCTCATCTTCACCCAATGGATGTGACGAGTGGGTTGGCTTTATCAGACTCAATTCAATTCTTGCAGCAGGATCATTGCTAGAGTAGATTAACAATCGAGCCAACATTAGACCCTTAGGAGACAAATCCGCCTTATAAGTTTCAACCCATTGACGAAGAAATCCGCATTCAAGGCGGTGAAACCTCGATCTATGTCTTACTAGACACATTGTAGAGCAATAGAAGATAGCAGAGCATTCAAGACATTGAACGACTATGAATGATGGGATGACGATTCCACAACAGTGACACCTTCTTGCACCCGATTCAGTAAGGTAGTACAGTTTGATCATAGGCTGAATGGTCAAGGCTACCTCTCCCTTCAAAAGTGCTCTAGAGGAGTAAATTGAAGTGGGTTCAGAGTCTGAACGTATGAATTCTATATTGACCATTCTTTTAGTGATTGTCATTGAGAAATGGCTGCAAAAAGTACTGGCGCGGCTCATGTTGATGGAAAAATCAGGTAACTTTTATTACTAAACTATCATTAATTGGACTCATTAGAACCACTCACTCTCTGAGTAGGATTTATTTTCACCGTTGGGCCTATCTAGCAAGTCCACATAGCTTGACGAGCGAGCACTTTCGGTAGTCACCGGCTCAAACGCCCAACTGGTGTTTGCAGATCCAAAGTCTGACGGAGGCATCTCCTCTTCAATCTTTGACTCAGGCTCTGCTTGCAATTCGTCTGCCAAGTACCCGCCGAGTTCGAAAAACCAACTAACGTACTCGTCCGCCCAGCATCTGAAGACCCACCATGACCCGAAACTTTGGCCGCCAGCCAAACTCATTTCACGGAGACATGTCGTTAGTAAATTAGAACACACGAGCAGGAATAGCCAAGGGTTGGCATCTGGGAACTTTGAAGGAAGCTCAAGGAGGAATGCGGCGTAAGGGGCAAGTCCACTAGCCTTAAGGTCATTTGCTTGGGAAGACTCCTTCTCAAAAAGCTTGATTATTCGGTCGTTAAAAAGTTCATCAAACAATTGCAGATGTTCCATAGCACACGGAACCTCTCGTAGTATGATTCCGTACGTGTCAACGCGTAGCCAGTCATTCAACATTAAAGTGCGCTCAGTCTGACTAGAAAGGACTCTGGATGCAGCTGATCCGTATTCAACACAACGAACGAATCGTCTCACCATCGATATGAACTGACGGGCGGTTGTCACTTTCATCTGAACAAAATGGTCGGGAAACTTAACCAGTAGTGCAGAAGAAAGTTTATTCACAAAACTCTTCAAAATCTCTCTGAGCGGCGTCAAGATTTCTCCTGGGACCGATTCAAGTTGCAAGCGAGTCAACATTTTGAGGATCGCCCGATACATTGCCAAATCTGAGGCCTTCACCCATTGTAACGTCAGCTCTGATGTGAAGAGCCTAAACACCGGCGTGGTCAAAATAGCACAGAAGGGAGCAAAGAGAGAAAGCAACTTCTCCACTTGCATATACCTGACAGTTTCAAAGATTGACATGCAATGAACACGATAAAGGGAATGTAGGGTCTCAGCGACATCATAGTCCACATCCAGATCTTTCGGAAGGTAATCATGGATAGGTGGGAGTGTGAAAGGTTGTGACATCCAGTCGGGGCCCATTGACTGGTCAATGATGGTGAAAAGATTCGGAACGTACTTGAAGCTCGTCGTTACGAAAGCCTCACGAACGACACCGGAGTCAATTGGGGTACCGCCGCCACTCACAGACGGAGAGTTTGAATAAGTCGGAGTCTGGGGATTTAATGAGTGAGGCGATTCGGAACCGGCTGGAGAGGATTCAGACAGAGCTGAATTATCCAGTGACTGATCATCGAGAAGCTTGATCCCACAATAGTGGTATTTCGATTTACCACGCATTCCAAGACGGCGGGTCTTGAGATTGGGGTGAAGTATGCGAATGATCTTACCAAAGCTGGCTGGGGTGAGTGGATTGAGGTTATTGTTGGCACACAGCAGAACGTACCGAGCATATACCCTGTTGCGGGGCACCACGGCCGTTGGAGATGCTTCACACATACTTTGGACCCATGCCATGCCGAAGAGCTGGTGATGTCTTTCCTGTTTGATGTCTTTGGCATTGTTCAAGGTTTTGAATATGGGATCTGACTCAATGTTGGGATTACTAGTTTCCAACATCTTTATTTTATGTGCCAATTGCAACAATGGAACACCAGCAGCCTTGTGGGTGAGAGACTTGAGGTGCTCAACGAACTCCTCTTGAGTCGGTTCCGAGGCCCTGATCTTGTGGTGCAAGGTACCAGACCTGGCGGGAGGCGTTTCCATCGGCAATGGGGGCTGGTCTTGTAAATGATACGGCAGAAAGATGTCGTGTTGGGCCATCAGGTACGGCATGGTTTTGTGACCCAGTTGAGGCGGTGGAGCCGGCATCTGAGGCACTGGGGGTACTGGAGGCATATGAGCCATTGGCGGCACAGAAGGCACAGGTGGGGGGCCTTGGCTCAAACCAGACGGAACCAGGTACGGAGGCAGCATGTGGGACATGCTAGTCCTGCCCGAGCTCTGGGTGTCTGAAGAGGATGAAGGCTGTTGCGCAGTGTAGTATGGGTATTGCTGGTAGAAAGGCCGGTGGTGTTGCTGGGACGGCTGCAATGGTGCCTGTGGAGCCTGGGGCTGAGGCTGAAAGGCGGTTGGCAAGGGCTGATGAGGTCTGTTTGGTTGCAAGTGTTGATGTTGCCTGAACTGGTCATTATTGTTGTCGCCCAGCTTGGGCCGTTCGGGGGGAAAGCCGTAGGAAAACTGTCTGGCTGGATCCATATAAGTGAATTAGGCAGCAAGCGAGGCTAAAGAAGCTGTTATCAGGATGGGATCAGGCTCCTTTGAAACACGATTTAGGGTTCTAGTAAGGTTCCGGAATGCAATGCTATAGTGGGGCACGGCGTTGCCAACGGCGGTGCAGACAGCAACAGTGTCTACTAGAAGGCAGTAGAAATAGACGCCCAAACGAGATTTCGATTTCAAGCCAGCTCAAACGATGGAATATACTGTGAAACCACGGACCACGGCCAAAAGCGGTGCAGGGGGGCAGAGCAGGACGAAGACCTTGCGCGAGACACCGCTAGGGCTTTATATCTGCACATGAGAAAAAGAACAATGACTTGAGTAGAAGGAGCATGGTCAGCAGGAGTTAAAGGGAACGGAGGTTATGGGTACCAGTTGTGGTGATGCTTGGAACCTCACCACCTCCTCCATCTCTGCTCAGAAGCACACCGCTTATTTTGCACCCACGGCGCTTATTTTTTGCACCCAGGCAGATCTCGCAGCCCTGCAAATCGGTGCCCTCCACCTAAAAGCCGAGCCTTCTTCACTGTCTGGGGCAACAATGGCGCCTACGCACAAAGGGTATTGCGGTCGGAAGTGTCAGAATGCCGACCGTGGTCATTTCGCGGTGTTTTATTGGCAAACAACTTGGATGTTGGCCAATTATTGTAGATTTTGCGTTGAAGCCCTGGATCTCTGGCCTAAGCCTTAGGCAGTAGCACAGGCTTGGAACCTGTATGGATGGGCTTGATTTTTTAGTGGATTTAGCGGATTTATTTTTTCCGTCGATTCGAGGGTTTGGATGCTTTTGGCGGGATAAAGCCTCATTGGGACTTTGGGTGTGGTTTTGGTTGGTGGGGAGGGGCCATACTAGAGCGCAGTATAGATATCGCAAACACTAGTTGCAACTTCGCACATAGTCATCACCATGGGTACGATTTTTGGCAAAATAAAAAAAAAACCTTTTTAACATAACTCTTTCACATCATCAATTCAACATTGAATCCAAATAAGGCTTTTCATTTTCTCCCTGAATTTTTTCCCTGACCACCCTATCGTGAGACCCTGCCAGCCTACACATACTCATCGGTCGCATCGCATATTTTTCGCTAGCCCATCTCTGCTACTTCACCATGGCTGTCATCAATAAGAACCCAGAAGTGCTCTTGAGAAAGAGAAAAGACTCCGACAGAAAGCGTATCGAGCGCCAGGAGAAGCTCCGTGTTGAGGCCGAAAAAACAAAGAAGAAGTCCTTGGCTCCCAAGGATAAGTTTCTTCGAGCTGAGAAGTTGGCCATGAAGCACAAGGCTGCTTTCATCGAGAACAAGAGAATGGACAGCATCTTGAAGCATGAGCAACGCCAGATAAGCTCCAAGAAAGAGGAGGACCCCAAGCTTATGTTTGTTATCAGAATCCCCAACGTGCACAAGCATCTTGCTGTGCCCGAGAAGGCCAGAGCCGTTCTCCAGGTTTTGCGTTTGACCGAGGAGAATATGGGTGTTTTCGTCAAGGTGACCCCTACCGTCATTCCTGTTTTGAAGCTCGTGGCTCCTTTCGTCGTCGTTGGTAAGCCATCCCTTGCTTCCGTCCGTGCGCTTTTCCAGAAGAGAGCCTCTATTCCAGACTCCGAGAGCGAGTCAGGATTCTCTAAGTTGGACAACAACCAAGTTGTCGAAGACAAGTTTGGCGATGATCTCGGCTTCATCTGTGTGGAGGATTTGGTTCACGAGATTTACGGTTTGGGCGAAAACTTCAAGACTGTCAACAGCTGGCTCGCTCCATTCAAATTGGTGGCTCCTGTCAACGGATGGAGCCCCAGAGCTCGTTTGGAGAGAATCCAGTACGAGCGTGAGATGAAGAAACCTATTACTTTGGCGGGCCATGTGTCCTTGGAGGAGATTGACATCGACAAGCATATCAGCGAGCTTAACTAAGTGTGCAAATGAGTTTTCATAGCCTCTTAGGGACGGCTTTTTCTTTACTTTTCAACTGATTTCGGAGAACTGACCAAGGCTCACCACCCTAGTCTGCGACCGGTGGAGCCAAGACGACCTTTGTCAGTGAGAAGTGTGTATTTATAGAATATAGTACGATTTTGGATCACTGTAAGGAGTAAGGACGGGGCGCCAAAGTGATGGATCTGTCACCGAACTATCGTCGGGTTCAGCTCAGTAGTTTTGGTCTGATCGAAGGTCTTCGACACTTATGTGACGAGCTTATTCTCTAAAGATTATTCAATTAAACCCATACTGTTGCCCTTAGACATCATCTTGTTTTCAAAACAAAGTGTGATCGTGATGATAGGCCATCTACATCTCTTCAAACGCGCATGTCTGAATCTCCAACCACTATGTCTTTCGACGCGTACGGCCAGATCCTGTGGCCAACAGACCATAAATACAAACTAATACAGCTACTGGATGACTTAGTCAATTACATTAAGGAGGAGAAAGGTGAGCTAACGTTCAAGTCTCCATCAACGGCCAAAAACCACATTGTCCTATGCACTGAAGACGAGACTTACACTGTTCGCCAAATGAACCACTCCAACACGATGCTTTTGATGAATGACATGAGCATAAATAAACTAGAAAAGACTTTCGACGGCCCAGATTCTGCTTTGGTTGGAATTGACCGTTTCTCCTACATGTATGAGCTTACAAAGCTGGATGGATTCATAGACACCGAGGGTATTGCAAGGTACCCGAGCGATGAGATTGAATCCAGTAAAGCCATGCATGCCGTTGAATCCGACTCGCCCATTGATAGACAGCATTTCTACTCGCAGTGGTATAGCATCTGTGGAAGTCAGGTAGATGGACACGCAGTGATTCTAACGCCAAAGTTTGTCACAGAAAGCCTATACACTTTGATTTCGGTATTGCTCTCGAAAAAGAAGTCCGACACTGAGTTCAATCTCAAAGAGATTTCACAAGCCTGTGCTGCTCAAGATTCTGAGCTTAACAAACATTTCGTTACGACATTGGCACACAAGTTTGGCGATGAGGCATCTCCAGGTATATTCACTATCAGTCACACCAAATGCGCCTGGTGGTTTGGTATTGAAACGATGAAAAAGGCGTCACCGATGCTTTTGTCCGATAAGGACTTTATGCTCAAATGGAAGCTGAGTCTACCACCATTCTTTAATGCATCATTGGATCTTTCTCTTCTACGGGGTAGCTTCTGTCGTCCTGAATCCGGCAAGATACGATTTCTCGACTCAGATATGTTATCGAAAGATCTTCACACGAGAATCAAAGAATTGTTCCAGATGGTCAAAGAGTGGGACTATGAAGACTTTCTCGCATTTATTGAGGGTTTCATACCACCAACTAAGAAAGCAGACTCCATCATTTTGAAATTTGCAAAGAAGAAGAGACTCACAAAGAATAAGTTTATCGTATGCCCTCGTTAATGATGACTATCCGCACGACTATCTCCGCAAGAGCAGATTTGACTAGGAGTCGCGACCTGAAAAATCTCGAGTTCTCGGTCTCCAAAGATTGCAATCTACACTCTTTTGCTGCATTGAAGAGATATACTCTTCCCTTACAACCAATTCAATGGATAATACCTCCTTCTTGATCTCATTGATCGTATGTTATTTGCTCACTCAGTCAATTATTGGCAACCTGCTAACCCCAGAGTGGTGGATGTGCCGGTACTAGTACCGATCTCGCATTCTTTCCTATAGACACTTTAAAGACCAGACTTCAGGCTAAGGGAGGCTTCTTTGCTAACGGAGGCTGGCATGGGATTTACAAAGGTCTTGGTTCTGCTGTCGTGGCGCTGGCACCTTCTGCATCGTTATTCTTTGTTACGTATGACACATTGAAGACCACGACGAAGGACAAACTCCCGCAAACGGCGAGTCATATGCTTGCGGCTTCTGCTGGTGAAATAGCCGCTTGTCTTGTTCGTGTCCCCGCGGAAATTGTGAAGCAAAGAACACAGGCTGGACACAAGGGCGTTGGTGGACAGGCTACTCTGTGGGCCAACTTGAAATACTTACTCATGAATAAGCTGGGAGAAGGTACCTTCCGTGGACTTTATAGAGGCTGGAACTCGACCATCATGAGAGAGATTCCCTTCACGATGATCCAGTTTCCCTTATACGAGAAGCTCAAGCAGCTCTGGTCTGAGTACGACAACCAGTCAATCTCACTCTTAAAAGGAGCTTTGTGTGGATCTATAGCAGGCGGAGTTGCTGCTGCTGCCACCACTCCTCTTGATGTGGTGAAGACCCGAATTATGTTGAACAAGGAAAGAGTTGGAGTGTTCACATTAGTGAGACAGATGCTACATGAAGAAGGCGCCAAGGTCTTCTTAAGCGGGGTTGGCCCTAGAACTGCTTGGATAAGTGCTGGTGGAGCAATCTTCTTGGGCTGTTACGAATTGACGCATTCGGTTCTAGATGAGTACGTGAAAGAGTCGAAGGCCCTAGAGTAGGCCGACAGATAATGTGACTGCAAACACACTGACTAATGTACGATAAAGGTGTGACCACGAAAAGATTCACAAAGACGTTCCCTATCTACCAATTTTGCAGCATCATCTCTGAGGCAAGAACCAGACAAATTAAACAACACTCTTTTTCTCATCACAAATCACACGACACTGAACCACAGGCAATAGCGCCCACAGTAAAGCCTCGCCCTTGACAGTGTGTGTCAAACACGACTCGCGCGAAACGGATCTCGGGTTGGAAAACGGACTCTCACCCATTACTAATTAGTATAAAGGAAAGAAAAAAAGAGCATTAAAACGCACAGTGGGTCACTCATCAACATACCAGTTCTCACTAACTTTTTTTATCGAATATAGAGAGTGATCATGTTTACAAAAATAGTGAGAGGCTCCGGTACTATTGCGAGGGCTACTCGTCGGCTCTCCACAACTGCGCCAGTTCGTTCTAACGCACGTTCTTTAGCCACAGCTGTTCCACCACCTCCTGAGGTGGCAATAGCCCCTGAAGGCTCCCTGATATCTTTAAAGCTGGCCACAAGAGATGACGCTCAGTTTGGTACCAGACCTATTTATTTGGACGTACAGGCTACCACACCAACGGACCCTCGTGTCTTGGATAAGATGTTGCAGTTCTACACGGGCTTGTACGGAAACCCACACTCATCGACCCATGCTTACGGTTGGGAAACAGAAAAAGAAGTTGAGAAGGCTCGTGGTTACATTGCTGATTTGATTAATGCTGACCCTAAGGAGATTATTTTCACTTCCGGTGCCACAGAGTCGAACAACATGTGCATCAAGGGTGTGCCCAGATTCTACAAGAAGACCAAGAAGCATATCATCACCACACAGACTGAACACAAGTGTGTCTTGGACTCTGCTAGACATATGCAAGATGAGGGTTTCGAAGTTACTTACTTGCCAGTCACCAATGAGGGTTTGATCAACTTGGATGACTTGAAGAAGGCTATCAGGAAAGACACTGCTATTGTTTCCATCATGGCTGTTAATAATGAGATTGGTGTTATTCAGCCTCTCAAGGAGATTGGTAAGATCTGCAGAGAAAACAAGATTTTCTTCCACACTGATGCCGCCCAGGCTTACGGTAAGATTCCTATTGACGTCAATGAGATGAACATCGACATGTTGTCCATTTCTTCGCACAAGATTTACGGTCCAAAGGGTATTGGTGCTTGTTATGTGAGAAGACGCCCCAGAGTCAGATTGGATCCTATCATCACTGGTGGTGGTCAGGAGAGAGGTTTGAGATCTGGTACATTGGCTCCACCTTTGGTGTGTGGTTTCGGTGAAGCCGCCAGACTCATGAAGCAAGACATGGCCTACGATCAGGCCTACATCAAGAGACTCTCCACCAAATTGAGAGACGGCTTGTTGTCTATTCCAGAAACCCAGTTCAATGGTGTTTTGTCTGATCCTTCCAAGCAGTACGCTGGTTGTGTCAACGTTTCTTTCGCCTACATCGAAGGTGAGTCCTTGCTTATGGCCTTGAAAGACATTGCCCTTTCTTCTGGTTCCGCATGTACATCCGCATCTTTGGAGCCATCTTATGTGTTGCACGCCTTGGGCGCCGATGACGCCTTGGCCCACTCTTCCATCAGATTCGGTATTGGTCGTTTCACTACGGAAGCGGAGATCGACTATGTTGTCCGTGCCATTAACGAGAGAGTGGATTTCTTGAGAAAGATGTCCCCATTATGGGAGATGGTGCAAGAGGGTATTGACTTGAACACCATCGAATGGAGTGGCCACTAAGCGTCGGGTGTGGGTATGACGAAACGAATGACAGACACAGAAAGGGCCGTTGCACCCTTTAACAGCGGAGTTTACGTATTATATTTTGATTTGTCCATAGTTACGAAAATGCACGTTTTGTGCTTTATCACAGAGTAGGTGCGCGCCCCGGTACCGGCGCCGTTTCCGGGCTCGATATTTCCACGGCCTATATATGAGTCTCATGCCCGGAGCGTTTTCATCGTTCACTATCAACTATACATAATGGTCGACAAAAACATTGTACTTCTTCCAGGTGATCACGTCGGCACAGAGGTCGTCAATGAGGCCGTTAAGGTCTTGAAAGCCATCGAGAAGTCCACTCGTCACCAGGACATTAAATTCAACTTTTCCACCCATTTGATTGGTGGTGCTGCTATCGACGCTACAGGTGTGCCTTTGCCTGACGAGGCCCTTGACGCTGCTAAAAAGTCTGATGCTGTTTTGTTGGGTGCTGTCGGTGGTCCAAAATGGGGTACCGGTGCTGTCAGACCAGAGCAGGGCCTTCTTAAGATTAGAAAAGAATTGGCCTTGTACGCCAACTTGAGACCTTGCAACTTCGCCTCCGACTCTCTTTTGGAGCTTTCTCCCTTGAAGTCGAACATTGTCAAGGGTACCGATTTCACTGTTGTTCGTGAATTGGTTGGTGGTATTTATTTTGGTGAAAGACAAGAGCAGGAGGAGTCTTCTGATGGTGTCAGTGCTTGGGACACTGAGAAATACAGCGTGTCTGAGGTCGAGAGAATCACCAGAATGGCTGCCTTCATGGCCTTGCAACACAACCCTCCTTTGCCTATCTGGTCGTTGGACAAAGCCAACGTGCTTGCCACCTCTAGATTGTGGAGAAAGACAGTCGACAAGGTCATGAGCGAGGAGTTCCCTCAATTGACAATCAACCACCAGCTTATTGACTCCGCTGCCATGATCTTGGTGCAGAACCCTGCCAAGTTGAACGGTGTGGTCATCACCTCCAACATGTTCGGTGATATCATCTCTGACGAGGCCTCTGTTATTCCAGGTTCGTTGGGTCTCTTGCCATCTGCATCTTTAGCATCTTTGCCAGACACCAACAAGGCTTTTGGTTTGTACGAGCCTTGTCACGGTTCTGCTCCAGATTTGCCTGAGAACAAGGTAAACCCAGTTGCTACCATTTTGTCTGCCTCTATGATGTTGCGTTTGTCCTTGGACTGTGTCAAGGAGGCTGAGGCTTTGGAGCAGGCTGTTCGTAATGTCTTGGACTCTGGCGTGAGAACCGCAGACTTGAAGGGCTCTAGCTCCACTCAGGAAGTGGGCGATGCTATTGCCGCTGAGGTCCAGAAGATCTTGCTGGCCTAGTGTATAAATTATAATCATCATGTATCTTATAAGTTCATTAGTCTATTAAATTTTGACAGTTCCGTTGAGTATATCGGAGAGGTAAGCGACGGAATCAAATTTGATCTGAAATCCTTTATCCTCTTCTTCTTTTTCCACCTCCCTGGCAACGTTCATAAGTGTCTTTTCGCTGGATGACAGTGTTACTGTATTAGCCATATCGTTTGGTTCGATACCAAAATATTCGTCTCTGAGTGCAGAGACATATTCATCTGGTGAGAAGTATTCCTCCGATGAAATTGTGATGGAGCAACGATCCTCCTCAGCTGCCTCCTGTGAATCGGCTGTTTCCTTTGATTCAGCTGCATTTACCGTAGCCTCGTCTTCATTGACTACCAACGTATCAACAGTAAAAGGAAGAGACTTTTGGTCTGAAAGATTGTCAAGGTGAAATCCTTCATCGAGCTTCTTACCAAAATCTGACATGTACTGAGCCGAGTTCAAGGACTCTGTTGACTGTTCTGATGGTAATTGAGAGAATGCCTTGTATGGAGCGAGTGGCTGCTCAGCTTCGGTGGCTCTCACCGTCTCCTGGCTGAGATCAACATTGATGCCATCATTGCTGGAGATTGTGCCCTCACTAGAGTCGTAGTGAATTTTTTGTGGAATCATGCGTAAAGGAGAACCGTTGTTGCCGACATCAATAACATCGAGTGTATCCATGTTTGCTTCTTCTTTCATCGCTCTGACTTCACGTTGGAGATTTGAGGAGTCCTCTCTGGTCACTCTGGTCCAATTAGCCTCACCATCACTGTAGAAATTAGAAGTTGGCAATTCTTCGTACTTCTTATACTTTGCATAGGTGTGAGGAGAAATACCAGCGGCATTGATGTGTTCCAATGCGTTTGCAATATCCTGGCTTGAGAAGATTCTCTTCTTTGGTGGCATTGGGATCTCTCCATCATTGAAAAGCTTCTTTTCATTTTGCACGCGATGCTGGGGTGGTTCGGGGGCAGTGTTTGCCTTCGGAAGGACTTGAGGCTGAATCGTCTCTTCTTTGTCATTGCCCCGAGGTACATACTTCGACAGTTTTCTCGACAGTTGAAGTGAAGACTTTCTGGATTCGTCATTTGTCTTGCTTTCGAGGTGATGGTGATCCTCGGCATATTTCACAGTGCCAGCAACTTCTCCCTCGGCATTTTCATCGACAGTATCCAAGGGGAATTGGAAATTAGGCTGCACGTCGAGTGATGTGTTAGTGTAGTGTGAAGATGATCCAGTGTTGACAGAAATATTTCTCTGTGCCTGTTCTGTCTCACGTTTTGGCGTCGACGAGATGGAACTCTCACGTAGTGTCGGCGTCGGCTTGTAAATACTATCGTATACCTGTTTTTTACCACGAGGGTTCTCCGTATTAGGTATCTTTTTGGCGCTCTCCTCCTGGCGTTGCTCTGGCGTGAGGCGAACCTTGGGGCTCTTCTTGACTCTCTTCGATTTCTTGAATTTACTGAAAAATCCTTTGAAAAGCAGGCGAGGACCACATGATGGTTCCGCCTCAGACATCGTGTCTACCAGGTAAGACTTGGCTTCTTCCTGCTTGGACTCAGCTTCTTTCTCTATGCTTGGTTCACGTTTGGCAATCACAGGCTTCGGTGGCACTTCCACTTGCTTGGTCTCTATCACTTTTGGAAGCTCTTTCTCCACACCCTGTTTAGAGAATCTCTCAACAAAGTACTCCAAGCTTCTGTCATTTCCCTTGGTCACAACCTCTGAGAAGAACGTAGAGTGGTAAAAGACATCAAGAGATTTGGCAAGAATTTCACGTAAAGATGCTCGGAGCTCCCCGATTCCCACGATCTCCTCGATCTTGTATTTCTTGGACCTATCGTGTCCTGAAATATGGACTGTGTGATGATTGATGAAAGAAGCGTTGAGCACAATGAAGACGTGAGAATGATCTTGGAATATTCTGTCAATCTCATCATGATTAAGATTGAGAAGCATCACAATAGGAGATGTAGACAATTCGGACTTGTACGATTGTCTCTCATGTGCACTGTAGAATCTGAGCACGTTCTCCTCTTTATCACTAAAGAGGTGGAAGGAAGTAACTTTATGAAGCACCTTCGCCTTTTGAAGAGATGCCATCAAAGTTTCCTCAGTTGAATCCATTACTTGAAAGTTTTGCATAGGATTGAGCTGGTGGCCATTACGGTCTCTGAATCCAGACTCCCCAAACGCCATGAACGAAAGGAAAGTATCTTCTCCTCGTGAATAGCCCTTCACAAGAACATCAGCGATTGAGCACCAGAACTTCACCTTTAGCAGAGGGAATTGAGAAAGTTTTGGCAATGGTTTCTGGTTGATCAAAGAGTTCATCAATATTGAGGGGACCAGAATAGAAGTCTTGTTCTCTGACTCAAAAGCGTCAAGGAATAGCACACTGTCCGAGAAGATAATCAAGATTTGAGAATGTGCTGGAGTAGGAATGACCTCCTTCAACTCATGGACCCCGATTACTTTCCTGTTTATCCATCCGTATTGAAGCTCCACGGGCCACTCAGTTGCGATTTCCGTGAGAAGTTTGCCTGATGGAGTGAAGACTCTGTTCGAAACTGGTTTCTCGCCCTGGTCTTCTTTGTAACCAAAGCTATCGATGATTTCAATGCACGCATTAAACGCCTTATCAATTACTGCCTTTTCATGATCTTCAGTATTTTCAAAATTTTGAAGTTTGGACTTCTCCAAGTTGATATCATCATAAAGACGTTTCAAGATGAGCTTGATTCTTGGGAGCTCCAAAATGCATCCGGACACTATGGCCTCTATTGATCTTGCGGAGAACTTACGTTTGTTGACCTCTGTAGATTCCATAAGCTTGCTTTCAACCTCAAGAAACTTTGCCAAACGATTATGGAAGTTTCGTAGGTTAGCCTCATGTCTCACGAACGCTTTGTAGAAATACGGAAGAATATTCTCAAATACTTGAAAGATTTCCACATATCCAAATGCTCTGGCGCGACTAAGTGAGTCGTGAAGAATGCAATTGATTCTGCAGACCTCATCAATCGTAGGAGGAAAGATAAGATTCACTTTCTGAATTCCAGTCGAGGAGTCTGAAGAAAGTACCTTGGCTCTCAATGGATTGACGAGATCCTGAAGAATGGCAATCAAATCCATTGCATAATTTGCTTGAACGTCATACAACTCATTCAATACCTTCTCGATCTGAGTGTTATTCTGGAGTAGTGGAGCTTGCGGGTTGCGTGGGGCATTGTAGTGATAGTCCATTGCTTGAGGTGAGTATTCAAGAAGGGGATCAAAAAGCTGATCCATTTGTTTTCCTAAGGCAAAAACAAGCTTATTATTTTCTTCGATGGTCACCTCTCCATTCAACGGGGTTTTCGAATCGTAAACAACGTCCATGAGTGTTGAGGAAATCCAATGGTCTTGAAGTAAACCGAGCGAGAGAAGCTTTTCTCCTAGTTGGACTGGAACCCTTCCTGTCAAAACATCCATCGAGCTAGCTAAGGCGCCAGCGTTCGTCTCGTCCCACCGCGAATGTAAACTCTCTGTGTTGTAGAAGAGCTGATTGTAATTCTTCAAGTTAGCAATTGCAAGGGCCTTTCTTACATTAGAATCACGATGCTCTGGGTCCAAGTTCTCGCATGCTGGCCAAAAGCGCAGGCGGACATCGAGCATAAGGTTTTCATAGATGTTGCAACCAAACTTGGTGATGGAGATGGCACTTATCTTCAGGGTCGTTTCATTTTTGTAGACAACGGTGATGACGTATCCAAAGAGCACTTCATCAAAACCTGCAAAAAAGGCAGCCTGGGGGAAGAGCTCTTGCCAGTACAGCACTGGCTTGGAGGCTGCATTTGGTCCAAGGTTGTCGAAATGGCCCAGTAAAGGTCGTAGCTTGATAAACTCGCTGTGATTGTTCTTCGAGAAGAATTGCTCGTCGTGTTCGCCAGAGGCGTATCTCCGGTAAATATCCATGGTATTAGAAATATGTGTGGTAACTGGACAAAAGAGATTTAATCGTGGTACATGTACGTAGTTTTGATGTTTTTGATACCACTTCCTAATTAGGAATCAATATAAACAATGGATATACTTCGAGAACAACGAGAACGAAGATCAAAAAGCCAATCGAGGAAGGAATTCGGAGGCGCCTCGATTGGGTCGAAGGTAAATAATGGTGATCATGGTGGTATTCTTCTAGAAACTGTTCGTTGGGAACGAGCTGGAGATAAGCGCATGAAACGCGGTACAACATTCATCAATCACGATTCACCCCTAAGATGGCAAACGACTCAGTAATAGCGATTGAGCTAAAATTTGAACTGTCAAAATTCAGGTGAAAAGGTTCTATCGGTATTTAAAGGTCTTGCATTATCTATGAAGATTCCTCCATTTCTGTATTTTCGCGGTTTCCCCACAATATCTGGAAAGTTGTTCCATTGCGTTACACATGCGAGCTATTTGAGAATAATTGAAAACTACACTGCACTTCAATAAAGTTCGAACAAAAGGTTCATATCAATTATGTCATATTAGAATTACGTGCCCCAAATCAAAAATCCATCAGTGTAATCAATCCACTAATGTCTCTAAATCAAGATGCAAAAGCCACATATAGCACACAGATGCCTGTAATCGAGCTGAGGTATCAGGGAATTTAATAAATTATTCATTCAAGCTGATCTTGGAAGCCTTCAGGCTGGTATTGGAAGACCTCAATGATTATGCAACCGTTTCCCACACACATCGATCGCCTTCAACTTCGGTTTTAGATATTGTCGAACGTGACAGTTCGCCTATCAGTGGGTACTCCATCGCTTCCAATGCCATGGTTTGATAGCCTATCACGGAAATACCGTAACCGAGCCTCGTCAAATGAAATATTCTCCATTGTCATCATATTCCGTATCTCGGTCGTAGCGTTTTCATCAAGACCCTCTCTCGTGTCTCCTTCGAGATTGCCCGTAAGATCGAAGTTATTGCTGGAGAGACCATTTTCCAAATCGTCTTGAAACAGTGATCTGTATCTTATACTATGAAGGTACCGAAGATGGTTTCTCATGCTTCTTATCATCTCGGCAAACAAGGAGATCCTGAGAATGACAACGCAAATTACCACAATGCAAAGTATAAGCCATAATGGTGGCATAAAGTCTATGATACCACCTATGATGGATTCAATAATATTCGACATGGCCACGTTGGTAGTTGGAACAAGTGATTTATAATTTCTTGGAGCCTTTATCATCATACAGGCATGCGCTACTATGTAGATAATGTTCCGATTAAATGTTGTACTTTTAAAGTATTTAAAGATGACTAGTCAGCCATTTCAGCATCGTTCGACTCGTTACCACTTGGATACTGTGCAAAGCTGATTTGCAAAGGACGACCACCGTAGTTGTAACCATCCAAGTTCTGGATTGCCTGGTCCGCGAGATCCTCATTTTCAAACTCCACCACAGCATTACCAGATGGTCTACCACGAGACTCTAATTGAATTTCACCATTGGTGACCTGGCCCACGGTCTCAAAAAGATCGTACAAGTCGGCTTTCGTGGTGATGTAAGGCAAGTTGGCAACAAAGATTATTCTGGATCTCTCACCATCCCCAATAACACCCTCTGTGAATGGAGAGTTCTTCTTACCACTGCTTTGGGTAGGCTTCTTGGCCTCTCTAGCAAAACGAACATCGATGTTACGACCTTCGAAGTCGAAACCGTTGTACTTGTCAATAGCGGCCTGGGCGTCCTCTGTAGTCTTGAAGACAACAGTACCATAGCCACGAGACTTACCTTGACGATCAGTAAGCACATCAGCACGTACAATGGTGCCCACGCTTCTGAACTCGTCCTTCAATGTCTGCCAAGAGGTAGTGTAGGGCAAGTTTCCGACGAAAACCTCAGGATTAGGCTCACGGTCCTCATCCACAGGAGGAGCGGCGCTTCGACTAGACTCGCTTCTCTCTCTCTTGTCCTCTGGGGGAGGGTAGTCCTGTCTGACGAAGATCTCTCTGTTCTGGTATTGAGTGCGGTCGAACTTCTCAATAGCTCTCTCGACATCCTCCACGGTGCTGAACTCCACAGTAGCCATTCCACGAGAGAGACCACGTCTGGTAACAATGTCTGCCCTCACAACTTCAAAGTCCTTGTTGAAGATCTCATTCACCTCTCTAGCGGTGGCTTCAAATGGAATGTTACCAATGAAGATGGATCTGTCGTAGTTGCGCTCGACGAGACTACGTTCATCCTCATTGCCTGGTACAGTAGAAGCATCCTCAGGGGAGATGTGGCCTCTCTTTGGAGGTCTCTCTCCTCTGTCACGACGGTCACCTCTACGACCTCTGTCACGACCGCCACCATCTCTGCGTCCGATTCTGTCCTTGAAAGAACGTTCACTTCCACGGTCTCTCTGTCTTCTAGCGTAGCCACCTCTTTTGTCCAGGCCACGAGGAGCCTCATAGTCCTTTCTGGAGTTCGTACCGGGCGACCGATCTCTGTTTCTCACAGGCGATCTCGACCTGTCCTGATGTATTAGCATCTCTGAAATATAATTGCCGCCATTCTCCGCATGTTGGGTTTACTTGCAGCCAAACTCCAACATAAAAGCACACATGTTTGTCTTCCTTAGCACCTTTTGTTGCAGTTTTCGCCGACTAGCACCAATCACGCTGTCAAGCAAAAACACACGAATTACCATCCGTAATCAATCCAACATACTCTTGAATAGTCGTCAATATCAATCTCCTCTGACATGATTGATGATGAGTGTCCTGTCGATCAGTTCCCAAATCTCTTCTTTTTCGTCCATCGCATCATAGTCACGTGTATTACACCCACCAGGTAGGTTTTCACCAGGACCCTGCCAAAGACGAACCTCTTCAAATATTTAATGATTAATTAATTCTTACAAATTTTTTCTCTTAATACGATACTCCTTATGAAATATCTCGACTTCCGATGAGTAGGCGCGAAAGACTTCTCAACGTCTTCATAGTCCAGTATCGTCCAGCAGGAGCGCTAGGTTACATGCTTTCGAAATTTGGGGATCCTCGATTTTTTGATTCTATTCTGTTTTAAGATCAATCTATGATCTCAGGCATCCCATGATTTCTGAAACCTTATCTGCAATCGACCCAAACAAGGAAACCATTGCAAGGTGGTAAATTAGTCTGTCATTGAGCGTTACTTGAAAGCGCCAGTATCGATATCGTGAAACTGTGAGCCTCATTATTTATCGCTGGGGAAACGGAAGAACAACACGCCTCTCAACTTCTGTTTCTTTGTTGACCTCCTCTTCTCCGTCAAACTTAAGTCGAACGGTTCCATCCTTCTTTTGACCTACCACCACAGCTGGATAAAACGTTGTTGTCTCAGGATAACGCGCCAAAACTTTCGTACCGTGTGGGTACGAAATGAGATTGGGCACTTCCAGTACCGACGGTATGAGTAAAATCTCTTTGTAATTCGCCTTGAAAGTTTGTCCTGGGTTGTTGTTTTCATCTGGTTCGGGATCTTTGATTTCATACCTCGTTCCATCACTGAGAATTTTAGTCACCTCACATTGAATCCACTCTTCAAAATGACGGTTCTTAAGCTTGAAAGCTACTTCTGAACCAATTATTATAGGCTCTGAAGGATCGTATTTTGATACCCAATATTGACGACCGTACTTCTTGTTGCCCTTCTTGCCGTTGGCTTTTTTACCACCCTTGGACGCCGATTGAAGCTTTCCAGATCGCGTTGAGGTTTCTTGTTTCTGCTGTGCCTTTTCTAGCTTCGATGTAAGCGTCAGCAAGTTTTGTTGAGCAGTTGCAATAAGTCTTGTGGCTGTTCCGATGTTGAGTTTGTGGTCATTTATCTCTTCCTTAAGAGTTTCCAACTCACTCTCTGAAAGCTTCCCCAATGTAGAGTCAGTGTGATTGGAGAAAATGTCGTCAAACGATAGAGACTCGTTGGCGTTGCATATGTCTTGAAGTGATGAAATGACAATGTCCCAGTATCCTTCTGTATCTTCTGCAGCCATTTTCCGAATTTGAATTTGACAGTTCGGGTTGATATAATACAAGTAAAAAAGGATTGATACGCTCTGCGCAAGATGATAGATGAATTGGCTCCTTCCAGCACCGAGTAGTTTTTCTTAATGAAGCTGTTGATGTGGTGCTAGATTAACTACACACTTTCGCGCATCAAGCACAGACTTTGAGATAAGATACCTCGCTTTTTATCAAATCACAAGAATTGTCGCGATCTGCGGATGGCTGCTTTGTCATATCATTGATACTGCAATATAAACCAAACTTTTGCATTGATAAACCGTACGAGCCAGTCTTAAACCCAAACTTGCTGGGTGCAATCAAGGATCGAGGCACGGTTGAATCGGCATTATGTCGGTACCAGAAGCCCTCTATGTGGCTGGCTATGTCCTCCAGATTGTTTCATACGTGCTTGCTATTGAAAAAGTGTCCCGAAAAGGAAACGTGCTTGGACTTTCTTGCGACTACATTTCCTACTCCTGGCTATGGTTCATGTCGAACGTCTACTTTGGTGGGAATTACCTAGCATCTACGTATGTGGTCTTCCAATATGCCAACAGATATCCCGAATATCCTACTTTCTATACCTCAAAACTCGTATTCTTCCTTGACTGCTTGGGACTAGCAGCAACAAGCTGCCTAATGTACCAGATTTTCAGGAAGTACAGGTCTACGAGGAAAGGAAACGAGGCATCGGGTATGCTATTTTACTTCGTGATCGCCCTCATCCTAACAGGTCTTGTGTGGCTACTTTGGAACTATGCTCGTGGACAAGAAACCCTCAATGAGCTTGACATTGCCAACTACTTCTGGCTTGTAGCGTATGTGGGCTTCTCATTCAGGCTTATCTCACAATGCTCAACAAACTGGTTTTTCTCAAGGTTCCACATTATCCACAAAAATTTCATGCTCCTCCAAACTGTCTCACTATTCTTATTGACGAGTAGTTTGGTGAGCTACAGAGTGCGCGGGACTAACTGGTATGAGCTTCCTACAAACCTTGTCTCCTCGGAATCAGTGCTCCTTAACTGGATATGCATGGCCATTCTACTTTACCAGATGCAGATATACGGCAGCACCAAGTCTGTCTTGGGTCGATGAAAAGATGACTATAACTCGCTAGCTCATTTGCAGCCGTTAGGGTGCAGCGCACTGATCTGCCTGCACGGTCTATCATATCGGTTCGAAAATTTGGTTTGCCGACCGGTGCCATGAATCAGATTCGTTCTTTTACAACCACTGCTTCATGCCTAGCCAAAAAAGGGGCCCAGGCGACCAAACCAAAGTTTCTAGGCAGGGTCAGTAACAATCTCTCTCTGGGAGTTGTAGGGCTAGCCAACGTGGGGAAGTCGACGTTTTTCCAGGCCATCACCAAGTCCACTCTTGGCAACCCTGCCAACTATCCATATGCCACGATTGACCCTTCGATGTCTCTCATTGTGGTGGAAAGCCCGAAGCTAGATCACCTTCAAAAATTGTATGGATCAGCGAAAAAGGTTCCTACGTCCATGACGATTTATGACATTGCAGGTCTCACGAGAAATGCAGCACTGGGCGAGGGGCTAGGCAACAAGTTTCTAGCCGATATTCGTCAGGTCGACGGAGTGTTTCACGTAGTTCGAGGATTCCGGGACGACGAAATTACGCACATTGAGCACAACGTGGACCCGGTGAGAGACATGACCATCGTGACCGATGAGCTCATTCTCAAGGACTTGGACTACATTGAAATTGGGCTTGAACAGGCACAGAAAGCCTTGAAGAAGCCGCAAGCGGACAAGGGGAAGATACAGTTTGAGATCGACACGCTCAACAAGCTTCTGGATCTTCTATACCTGGGCAGGAAGGTGAGCACTGCCGAGTGGAGCAACGAGGAGATCGACATAATCAACCCATTAAACCTTCTCACGGCTAAGCCCACCGTGGTGTTGCTTAACGTGAATGAGGCTGACTACCAGAATGATACCAACGAGTTTAAGGAGGCCGTGCAAGGGTGGATTCAGGAGAATTGTCCAGAAGATGAGTTGATGCTATTTTCAGCAGCGTATGAAACACAGCTTAATGAAAAGAGAGACAATGTGGAGGAACTCGAGGCTTACATGGCCGAGCATGGCCACAAGGGGAGCGCCATGAGTGGAATTGTGGACAAGATGCGGTCCGCGCTCCGTCTTGTGTCATTCTACACGTGTGGGCCTAAAGAGGCACACCAGTGGACGGTTCGGGAGGGATCTCTAGCACCCGAGGCCGCTGGCACCATCCACACCGACCTCCAGAAAACCTTCATTTCCGCCCAGGTGTACAAGTGGAAAGATCTCCAGGACGAGCAGCCGCCGTTGGACGAGGCTGGGCTTAAGTCGAAGGGCAAGCAGCATCGGCAGGGCAAAGCTTACGTCATCGAAGACGGCGACGTTTTAGTGGTGAAGGCGGCCGGCGGCAAGGCCAGGTGAAGTGGTTGCAAACACATGCGGTTGTGTATGCGACGGGCCATGTAAATAGCAGGATACAGAATGACGTGCAAATAGAGACGGTGGGGATAGGCGAGCATACTCGAAATGGAAGTAGCGAGATGATCGCCGAAGCAGACGAACCCACGGGCCGAAAGATGCCCCCACCAAAAATCCCCGTTCGAAAAATTGGCATTTGACAGCTGCCATTACCCCCACCCTTCCCACAATTTTTCTTATCATTCACTCGTAGCGCCTAAATGGAAAGTGCACGGCTCCTCGAATTCCCGTATCAGTTGCTCGCCCGGAAGCGTAGAAGCAGGATTAAGCGCTGTGGCCTCCGTCGGCTTGGGCATTTTGTGTTGTGACCTTCAGCCCCACGTAGGCACCACGTCGTGATTGTTCCGCCCCTTTGTCCATCATTGCTCCATGAGGCATACTATTTGATCTGCCCGGCTAGCGGGAACAATGCCGTCATTCTCGGGACAATGCTACGCTCACAAGACCGTTCCCGCACTTGGCACCAACGGTGTGTCAAGAGGTGCTCTCACGGGTGGGAAATTGGCCTCCTTCAACGTAAATCCGTAAACCTTGTGCTGCAAAACAAACTCTGAAACTGCCCTTTTGGTCACCGTTCTCCGGATCGCTGCCTTGGTCTCCACCTTCCCCTCCGCAGAGCAGTTCGCATTCCTTCACAGCGACCGTTTCTTTGCGGTGCTTTTTACTGGACTGAGTTTTTTTCTGCGTCGCTGCCCCAACTATCTCGCATATCTTATCTCAACTCCCGCCTGGTCCTCCCTCATCCTTTTAGCTGGACCTTCTTTTCGTTTTTAACCCGTTGCCACTGCATCCATCCTTCATTTACATCCCGCCCAACGCTCCCACGCCACCTTATGGTGATAAGACTCGCTGCTACTGCTCACAACCGTATGCTTGGGTCCTTTTACAACTACCTCTTTGGCGCCAGGCTGGCTGCCTCGCCCAAGACCCATCCTTACTCCACCGACAACGTGGCCCTCCCTGCTGACGCTGCTGCTTCGTTCCACCCGCGTTTGACCACCATTTTCCAGCAGTTGGACGCCATCGCCCCCAGGTTCACCACCAAGGGCTCCAATATCGACATTTTGACGTCGCCGCAAGATTTTTACGAAACTCTCAAACACAAGATCTTACATGCATCCAAACACGTGTTCCTCAGCTCCTTGTACGTTGGCAAGGGCCAGGTGGAGCTCGTGGAGACGCTCGCCGAGGCCTTGGCCAAGAACGACGAGTTGAAGGTGTTTATTTTGACCGATGCGCTACGTGGAACAAGAGAGGCCCCCAATAACCCCTCCTCCGCCTCCTTGCTCGTCACGCTTGTTGAGAAATTCGGCAAGCACAGAGTCGATATTAGAATGTACCATACGCCTCACTTGAGCGGCTTCAAGAAGAACTTGGCCCCTAAGCGTGTCAATGAGAGCTTTGGTCTCCAGCACATGAAACTCTATGGCTTTGACAATGAGATTATGCTTTCTGGTGCCAACTTATCCCAGGATTACTTCACTGACCGCCAGGACCGTTACTACTTGTTTAAAGACGCTGCCATCACCGATTACTACTTCAAGATCCACAAGGCTGTTTCCAGTCTCTCGTACCAGCTCTTGCCATCCACCAAACCCCACAAATACCAGACTTTCCGCTTGTCATGGCCAACCTCCAACAGGTCCTGTGAGCCAGACATGAACTTCCAGCGCTTCATCTCCGACTCCTCCTACCTCCTTGAGCCATTGTTGAAGCAGCATCAACTTTCTGCTTTCGAGCAATACTCCGACACAAATGACTTTGACACCATTGTGTACCCTGTATCCCAATTCACTCCTTTATTCCCAGCCCAGAACGACGCATCAACTGAGAAGCCCGCCGTGTTACGCCTTTTGTCTTACTTGGACTCGTCCAAGATTAAATGGTGGTTCACCGCTGGTTATTTCAACATGCTTCCGCAGATCCAGGACAGATTGTGCAATGGAACAGCCGCAGGCACCGTTATCACGGCATCTGCTAAGGCCAACTCATTCTACAAATCCCCTGGTGTCTCTTACTACATTCCTGAGGCATATCTTTTGATTGCAAAGAAGTTTTTGGAAGAGCTTAGACGCAGAGGAAAGGAGAGTCTCATCAAATTGTACGAATGGCAGAACGGTGTTGTCAACACCCCTGGTGGCTGGTCATACCATGCAAAGGGTTTATGGATCACCGTGCCCGAGGAAGAGGAGCCCTCAATTACTGTGGTTGGCTCCTCTAACTTCACCAAGCGTGCTTATTCGTGTGACTTAGAGAGCAATGCCATCATCGTTACCAAAGATCAAGATTTGAAGCATCGCATGCGCTCTGAGATTGATAACTTGATGACTTATGCTCATCCGTTGGAGCTCGAGGATTTTGACCCAAAGCTCAAACAGACTGAAGAGAAGCAGGAAGATAGAATTGACGCACAAGGTAATCCTGTGACCCCGGAGGAAATCTACGAAATTGGAGAAGATCGTAAGATCAGCTACGGTGTCCACTTGGCATTGAAGTTCTTTGGTGGTAAACTATAAATCAACAAAGGCGCTCATGCTGGGTAAATAAGTCGCAATTGCACTGGATCAGCGAGGAGGCATTTACTGTCGAGGCTCAAGTACTCCACCCTCTTATCGAACGGATAAGAGTTGCATGAATAGAATGTTGTATTACCATCATGAGCCAAGAAGCCCTCCTGCTTGTGGAATCCGCTAAACGTTATCTCCTTGTCAAAGAGCAACGTCAAATCACGCTTTTGATCAGCATCCCAGGTTTGAACAGAAACAAATTCATTGGTTTTTGCATTTCTTAAGAGATCATCTTCATCGAAATAGAAGAGTTGTGGCTCCAGCACTGGTGACTGTTCATTGTTGTACGCCAGCTCAGACACTAGAATTGCCTGGTTGGTATAGTTCCTGACGAAGAATATGTCTTGATCATGTTCTCGAATAACACGAAGCTGGAATTGCTTTGGAGTGGGACATGCCACGGCGCACCAGAATAAGAAGACGACTGTGAAAACGGACAGAATCATGTTGGTGTCCTCCTCCAGCAAAGGCGGAAACCCCTTATATATCTATCAAAAGTATAAATAGAATTGATGACGATGCAACCACGACTTCAGACAAAGACGGATGCGGCTATTGCCACGGAGATTCTAGGCAACACTACAGGACATTTCCGTAGGAATACTCTTCCAGAGCCGTAGAAGATGGGGTTCCCACTGCATACGAACGAGGCTGATATGTGACCAATCCACGGTTCTATTTTTGAAGCCCGTAAATGAAAAAAGGTATCAGAGATTCTCCAGTTAAGACTAAAGTAGAAGATGGATATATCGTCAAATTGAGGATGAAGTCCAACGATGCCAGGAGGGTCCTGTCAAATAAGCTACCGATCAAGCTAATCTCACAGATGTCACACGACTTGTTGGATCAAGAAGTACCTTCTCGAATCTGAACGACGCATGAAACAATGAAGGGACAATCCAATACGGCAGGAAGCTTAAAAAGCACATTCCCGACCGGAATTGATAAGCCCACAGAGGTAAGTTATCGCTTGAGCATAGCTATGCACTACGATGTCAGATTCTTCTGATACCGGGAAACAAAGCCGCAGATTACCATTGCATGAAAGAATACGCCGCAATTCGAAGCATCAATGTGATTTCCATTGCACCGGATATCTAGAAAAGAAAAAACCACATCAACACTTGGCGGTTTGGATTCAGTCGGTTGTGGTATCCCTAGAGTCAGTGGGGTATTGTACAGACAATGCCGATCCCCGAATGTGCTTTGTGACACTTGATCTGTATGTTGGACTTTCATTCTACTATCCAGGTTCTTGACAATTATTGCAATCCCTTTTCAATATAATTGGTGTTCACAAGTAACAATGATGAACAGCTTTACAATATGGGAGGTTTGGTAAACTCCTCAGATGCAATCAATTAAGACCAGTACTATGATTATTTTGATTAGTCTGAAGAGGGCAATACCATTGGCTCATGGGTTACATGGGAATCAGCACATGTGACTTTTCACGTACAAGTAGCAAATGAAATGGACAAATTTTGCATCTTCCATTTCCTTTTCTCTTATGAATTAAAATGCTCCCCATTGATCGTAGTTGGGCAGAAGCTAAATGTCGAGAGGAGCCCTCATCGTAACATTTTCTTGTTCGTAAATCGATAAAACAGCTGTCCTATTCGACTTCTTCAGAAATTATGCTGAATTTGGTGTTGGATTTGGTCGGTGGGACTATAATACACCCACAGCTCCATACATCTTGCGTCTTGTTTGATCACGTGCCGTAGTCCTTTATACAGTCTTACAGAATGACCACCTTCATATAAAGGCGCGCAAACTTCTTCAACATAACATCCGAGATAGTTTAGTGGCTAGAATTACCGCTTGTCGCGTGGTAGACCGGGGTTCAATTCCCCGTCTCGGAGCTTTGTTAGCGCAAGTGGTTTAGTGGTAAAATCCAACGTTGCCATCGTTGGGCCCCCGGTTCGATTCCGGGCTTGCGCATACTTTTTTGCATCAACCAGAGCTTATGTAGTACGATTCACAATGCTCACTCACAATCATTGCCGGGGTCCAACGCTCGCCCAGAATTGCAAATTTCGCTATTTTTTAAAATACTTCAAGCAGAATTATTTTCTCAATACAATCAGCCACTTCATTTCCTTCTTAGATTTCTTTATCAAACTCTTTGGAGACAATTAATGTGGTGAAGTGGTTGGAGCTGTGTAGTGGACCTGCATACACCCTTACGTGGATCCATTTTTTCAATGAGAAAACTGTGAAGATTCTTATAGACCCACCCATGTCGCTTTTCAGAACAACCACCGGGGCTGGTATTGGGCTTGCTTCGTCCAGCTCGATACTAGGTGGCTTTACCCAGATCCGTACCGCCACGAAAAGAGTGAGTGGTTCGAAAACCAACAAAAACGACTCCGC